TGACAATGCAGAGTTTAAGTATAACTGTAGTTGGCTGGATTGTTTTAAATAATCCAGCAGAACAGAAGGGACCCTGTAGTCTTTTTTTTTTTTTTTTTTTTTTTTTTAAGACACTGGAATTGAACCCAGGACCTCACACATGCTAGACAAGCGATGCACCTCTGAGCTATATCCTTAGAGCACAATCCATAGTTTTTTACATGTTCAAGTGTTCAGTGCTTCCACTGCAGGCAGAGAGCTGAAAGAAGGAAATGGCCAGGAGAAAGTGATTTCCCAGTTGCAGAAGGGTTCACTGAGAAACTCAAGACTACAAGTGCTAGTCTGCTCAAGTCTCACCAAACCTGTGCAGAAGAAACCACATTCGTTTTTCCATGTCCTTTTAAGTAGAATAAAAAATAGTGTGTCAGCCCCACTTTCATCATAACCAAATGTAAATCTACAGTGGATTAAAAATGTGAAAATCTTAGCTTGAAAGTTTTTTGACGAAGATAGAACATTTTTATTACCTCAGCATGTGGATGAATTTGGGAAAATAAACACAACAGAATATAAAGGAAGATGTTAAATGTGACCACACTGGAATTTTAAAATTTAGTTTATTAAATACTATTAGCAAGCCAATAGAGATTTACAATACACATAATCTGCAAAGATCTAGTTTCAGATATCTCCGAGTGCTGGGGTTTCTATCAAATGTAAAAAATAAAAGCACACCTATAATCCCAGCTACTCAGCAAGCTGAAGCAGGACGATTTTGAGTTTGAGGCCATCCTGGGTTACACAACAAAAACCTCTCTCAAAAAAAAAGGTACAGTGCATAGAGCACACACATCTTAAGTGTACAGCTCAAAGACTTCTTACCAAAATATGCATACATAGATAACATTCAGGTAGGCACTGTTCACGTCCAGACAGCCACTCTCCACCCCATAGGCTCTATCATTCCTTCCCCCAACCTTGGCCCTGAGGTAATGGTCGTTGCTACTGCTTTTGTCATAAATTGTCTTGCCTGTTCTGAATTTCATATAAGTGCTAGCTTCTTGTACTCAACATATCTGTTCTTTACATATCCATCATGCTGCATGTAGCATGTTCCTGTGTGATATTTCACAGTGTTGACATACCATAACTGATTTCTCCACTTGTGCTGATTGGAATTTAGATTATTCCCAGATTGAGGACTTATGAATAAAGTTGCTGTAAATACCCTTGATGTGAAGTACTCTGGTGAGCAATTTGATGTTATCTAGTTAAATTGAAAAAGTGTATATGACCCAGCAATTCCACTACAAGGAAAGTACGTAGAAACTTTGACACGTTAAAAAAAGCACAAGTAAAAATGACCATAGCTGTTTTGTTTATAGTTACTAAAACAAAATAACCTTAAATGTCCACCAGTAGGAGAATAAATGAATAAATGGTGGAGTCATGCAATGGGAAATATATATATATATATATATATATATGAATAGGAAATAAATAAATATATATATATGTAAAATCAGGCCATAAATAAATGGAATAAAGATCAATATTGATCAATATGACAATTGACAGATAGGGCAAAATTGTCAGTATGACAATTTAAAAAAGCAAGATCCAGGAGAATACATATTCTAAGATGGCACTGATAGAAAATTTTAAAACATGCAGTTCACTCTTCTTACAAGATACAATACTATACTTAGGAACATATCTATATGTACTTAAAACTACCGGAAAATGTGTAGGGCATTGGCAAACAGAAAATCCAGAATGATTTACTTCAGGTGGGAAGGGTAAAGCCTGTAAAATGGGTAGAGGGTCAAGTCAATTGACAAATGCTTTAGTTTTGAATGGTGTGCTCAGTACACGGTTGTTTTTTTTTTTTTAAATTTAAGGTACTGGGGGTTAAATGCGGGGCCTTAACACTTAGCTACATTCCCAACCCTTTTAAAAATTACTTTTATTTTGAGACAGGATCTAAGCTGCTAAATTGCCCAGGCTGAGCTCTTAACTTGGGACCTTTCTGCCTCACCCTCCCAGAGTGCTAGGATTACAGGTGTGCACCATCCTGCCCAGCTCCTATTTTACTCTTTAAACTTGAAATATACTTTTTTTTGCAGTATTGGGGATTGAACCCTAGTGCGAACATGCTTGGCATGCATTGTACCACCCTACCACTGAGCTCCCCAGTCCTTTTTATATTTTATTTTTTACCTTGAAATAATCTTGCCAAGTTGCTCAGGCTTGTCTTGAACTTGCTATCTTCCTGCCACAACCTCCCATGTAGCTTGGACTCCACCAAGTCCAGCTTTTTGTGTTTTGTTTTGAGACAGGGTCTTGTTGCCCAGGCTGATCTGGAATTCCCAGGCTCACACACGTTTCAGCTGGGACTACAGGCATGAGCCACCACACTCTGGCTTAGAACTTTCTAAAGAGACAAGGAAAGGGAGTAATTAAGAGCAATAAAATGCTGGTGAATGATATTTGGGGAGGGGAGGGAAACGTCATTTGTACAGTAAGTTCCTGACTTTCAAACATTCACAGGTGTACTGTGTAAGACTCACTTTGTCGGATTATGAACAAAGCCAGTTTATAAATGTTCACCCAAAACAGACCTCATTCGTAGATAGGAACTTGTATTTGCCCATTTCCCTGGCAGAAATACTTCCCACTACGGTTGACTTCAAACTACCAATCTATCACTGGGCTCATACAAACCCTGAACGTTACTAACAGGCAGCCTCCTGAGCCAGAAAGAAGCCATTCAGATGCTGACTGCAGCTGTACCACACGCTTCTGGCTGGAGGTTCAGGCTCTAGGGACTTTGCAGCACCCAGGAGTAGGTCAAAGCCTGCATCATATTAATTCCTTATTGCTGTTATGTTACCCCTAACACTAAGCAGCTTAAAACCGCAAATGTTTGTTATGTCACAATTTCTGAGGGCCAGGAATCTAAAAATGGTTTATTAGCTGAAGGTTCCAACTCAAGATCTTTCAGGAGGCTGTACTCAAGTCAGCAAAACTACAGACATTTGAAGATTTCCTTAGGGCAGGAGGACCTGCATCCAAGCTCACTCAATGGGGTGCTGGCAAAACCTTCCACTCCTTGTCACATGGCCCTCACCAGTGGTCTGTGACATGGCAGCTGGTTTTCTCCAGAGCAAATAATCAGTGAGAAAGAGAGAACAAGAGAGAGACTGAGATGGAAATGCAATGCTTTTTATTACCTACTTGCAGAATACCTCTTATTCCCCCACCCTAACCCTGATGAAATGTGAGAGGAACAACACAGCGTGCCATACCAGGAAGCTGGGATCGCTGGCCCATCTGGGAGCTCAGCTACACACGTAACCACCAGAGGTGAGTGTGGAATAAAGGTCCATGAGGAATCTCTAGTGGCCTTGTTTACATTTCTAAGAGTATCACCTTGGTGCTGATTCAGAGGCATTCAAGTGGCCTTCAACTAGTGGGCCGGCCAGTTCCATCTCAGAAACGGCAGTAACAAAAACAGTAATTCCAGAGAGACTTGGGGTGCCAGGGCTCCTCAGGAAGCCACAACCGTGGTTGCTGTCTGGGGCCACGGAGCCCAGCAAGTCCCCAGAGCCACAGGAAGGGCTGTCTCCTGGTCCAGGCTTTGTTCTCTTTCCATACAAAGAGAGCCACATCTGCCTCATCTCGGCTTTCCCGGCTTTTCTGTGGGCAGACTGGCCCAGGGATGCTTACATGACAGGGCTGCAGGAAGGCATGACCATGGATCCTAGAGCTTTGGTTAGGGAGGATCCGAAGTTGGGCCACCATGTCTCAAGCTATCCCTAGAGCATGCTCCTTTAACCCAGTGTCTTAGTTTCTTTTCCCTTGTTGCTGAGACAAAATACCCAACACCCAGAATTAAAGGGGGAAAGGTTTACTAGGCTCACAGTTTGTGGAGGTTTCAGTCCATACTTCAAGGCAGAGTGGTGCATAGCAGAGGGCAACAGCTTATGGTGGTGGAACATGGCAAAAACAACAAGAGCACAAAGGGAGAAGCAAGTGAGCAAGCCTCTTTCTCTCCCTTATATTGTATGCAGGGTACCTGTCTCAGGGTGGGTATCGCACTCACACCCATAATCCCAGCATTGGATCATGAATCAATCACAAACTGTAGAAGCCTGCCCCTCTGACTGCATGAGGCTTTGGGGAGGACATCTAGATACAAACCATAACACCTGGTCAGTCAGAATGTTCTGTGGGAAAAACATTCCACAGTCAGAGGCAACACCAAGCACGGGCAACACTACACGCTGTGCTCTCATTGTGGGTGGAGGAGTGGGCACGATGCACAGTAGTAAGCGCTCTGAGGAGGTCTGTGGGAAATCCATGACTCTTCCTAACAGAAAACCTCTTACATCTGCTGTTCTTTCCGCCTCTTTCCTCACCAGGGAAGTCATCAGAGATGCCCACCAGGTTTGTTGTAAGCATGGACACTAATCCCTACTACTCAAGTGTGTGGAGCAGTAGTGTGGGCTGCCTCTTAGAAATGCAGACTGTCAGCACACCAGGGACCCACAGATCAGAATCTGCATGTTAAAAGGAACCCCCCTGCACACACACACATTGATACAGGGTTCTTCCCCTCTAAAGTGCCCGGGTGGGTCATCCTGCCAGTGGGGTGGGGTCCCCAGGCTCTGCATCCAGATGGAGTTGACATGCTTTGAATTACACAATGTACTCTGAACTGCTACATCTGAGGAATTCTCCATAGGCTGAGTCCCTCCTTCCCAAGGGCCCACAAGAGGAACCCAGGGGCACTGCCAGCCACAGAAGAACACTTGCTTCTGCGGGAGCTTACAGAAAGGACTGAGGAGTTCTGGCTTGGCCTCCTGGCCCTGCCCCATGTCTCAGAGATACTTTCAGACTCCTTACCAGAGATGTCACTGTGAGGATCCAGCCTCCCCACCCCTTCTACAAGGTCATAAGTGTCAAATACAGCCACCCTTAGCAGCTCAGCGCCCAACTCAATCAGAAGGACAGGTGAGTCAATACCTAGGGAGAATGTTTTATTGAGATGTTGTAACATAAATAGCTACAGAAAGCTTGGAGGGTAGAAGGGAGCAACTGCTGTGTCTCCCTCTACACAGGTCACTCAGGAATGGGGATACTGGTAAACACTAATGAGGGGACCTCCTACCCAGAGGGTGGAGGAGGGTGGGTTGTGACAGTCTAGATGTCCTGGGGGAGGGACAGGTGAGGACCAAAGGGCTCAGAGCATCACAGCATTTGGGAGTCACTGGGTCAGAGCCTGGATCACATCCTTCACCAGCATGGTGCCAATCACCATCTTCTCGCTGTTGACTGTCACCTGGGCAGCACCAGCTGGCCGGGCAACCAGAGTCAGGAGGACCAGGCTCCCGCTGGTCAGTGTCCTCCCCGCAAACCTGAGGAGGCCGGAGAGGGGGGGTTTGGAAAAAGGGTTCAAGCCCTGGGGGCCAAGGCCATCCTTCCAGCCAGACCCTGCAAGTGCAAGTACCTGTACTCATCAGATGTCCCACAAGGGACACGGCCCAGGTTGGCAGTGGCAGTCACTTTCTGCACCACAGTGTGATCACTCCAACAGGTGTCTGGCAGCATGAGTTTCTCAGTGATCTCATTCATGCCTGTCAGCTTTCCTGGGGACAAAGGTTGTGATGAGAGCAGAGGTGGCAGTGGCACAAAGGCTGGCCCTGCATCTGCTTACCAAATACCCTCCTCAGGTTCTTCCATCCTGGGCCAGGCTGGGATCCAGGCAGCCGGGGTCCCCTCTTTGGCCTTGGAGAAGGGCACTTCCCTCACAGACCTGCCTCAGGGCTTTGTCCATGATGTTGACCAGGGACTGATTTGGTACTTTCTACTGGCAGACATCGGGCCACCATCCCCTTGGGAGTGGCCAGTGGACTTGGGGACCAGATAGTTCTTGGGAGGTCCCCATGCCTTTTGGTCTTCCCCGGATGGCCTCCAACCCAGGCTAGCACCTTCCCAGCCCCTGCTAGTTGAGCCCTCTGAAAAGGTCACAATGGCTGCAGGGCTCACAGCTACACCCCCAACTGTACCTCCACAGCAGCAGCCCCTGAAGCCCCAGGCCCTCACAGCACCCTCAGAGCCCCTCACCCACATGTTGACCTCTCTTCCATGCACAAGCTCCAGGCACCGCTGCCCTCTGCCCTCTCCCCTACCAGTTCTCCTCCTCAGCCCTTCTTCTCCCTCAGCCACTTCCCCTTCTCCTCCTTCAGACAATTGACATCTCTCCTCCCGTCCTTCCAGCCCCACTGCTCTTGGCTGGTAGCATCTGTACCTTCTGTCTGCCCATGTTCAAGTCTCTGAAAAACCCTTTCTAAAAAACCCATTTTTAGAGGGAAATCCTTCATCACAAAAAGTGTGGTCTCCTTCCTCATTCGTGGCCAGAGTCCACCAAAGGGGACTCATCTCACGCTCTGGTCTCCGTCAACCCCTACAGCCAACCACTGTTCCTCCTCTTGTACTGGCCTGCTCTCCCTTGGTTGGCAGTGGCCTCCCACATGCTGGGTCCAAAGGCCTTGGGTCATTGTGACCTGCAGGCCACCCGAAAGCATCCTTTGGCCTCGCCAGTGCTCCTGTTCTCCCCACCTCTCTCTGCTCCTGCTCGTATCACCCCCTTTTCTTCAGCAAAATGCAGGTTCTCCTGGAGGCTCTGTCCTTGGCTTCTTGCCCCACCCCCAATTCTCTCAGCTACCCTTCCAGCTTCCACTCCCACCTCAGTACTCAGTGCCTTCCTGGGCACAGACACTCAGGCACCTCCTCCCAAGCTTCCTAAGTGAACTTCAAAGCTCCGGGAAGTAGCCATGGCCTTCTCTCCTCCCGTGTCTGGCCACTGTCTTCCAGATCAGGGGTTTGGCAAATTATAGCCTGCAGGCCAAAGCCCGCCCACAGCCTGTCTGGCCTACACTATGGCTTTGATATGAAGTATTGGGGAAAAATCAAAAGAAGATGAATATGTCAGAACACATGGAAATTAAATAAAATTGAAATTTCAGTGTCTATTAATAAAAAGGTTTAGGATTATGTTCCAGCAACTCATTGAACGTCTCAGCCATGCTCACTAATTTACACATCATATGTGGCTGCTGTTTATGTTACAACAGCAGAGCTAAGTAGCAACAGAGACCATGTGTCCCTCAGAGCCTAAAACATTCACTTTATGAACCATTACAGAAAAAAATGCACCAAACCCTGGTCTAGATGAAGGGCACCATACCTCTCCCTACCACCCAAACCAGACATGTCCAGTCAGTTTATCTACCACTCTCTCTTCCACTCAGAGTAACTGTGCATGGCTCCCTTCTTCCTGATCTCTCTCTCCCACCCCAGCCTTCCATCTCCTCACCCTGCTTGATGTCACCTCGCTGCTTCCTATCAGATCTGCTGTAAGAGCCGGGTGAGTAATCACAGAATTTAGCCCGAGGTCTCACACCCAATGAGTAGCAAGCTCAGAAACAAAAGCAGGGCCTGTGAAGCCTGTGTTTCCTTCACTTGTACAGTCCCCTCTTCTCCACACTGCCAGTCCCAGCTTCGAGCACGGCCAGGTTCCCCTTTCTGAAGCAGAGGACAGAACCTGCTCCTTCCTTCAGTGGTGCCTCCACTGCTAGGAAAATGGAGTCTCTAAGCCCTCATCCCTCTAGTGATGGTGCCAGACACAATGATCTCCACAGTCTCTCCCAGCTCCGAAATGTGATTTAGAATTTGACTCCGAAATGTTAATAGAACTGAAGTCCTTCAGCATGGCATACAGGCTGCTGAAACTGTGACCAACGTAATGCTTTCAGCTTTGTTCCGACTACTCCCCTGTGCTCGGGACTTCTGCACCCCAAACACCAACCTGCTCCCAGCTCCGCACCTCTGCATGTGCTGCTTCCCCAGCTGGAACACAGCCCTAAACTTTTGTTTGTTTTTTGAGACAAGATCTCACCATGTAGTTCAACCTGGCCTTAAACTCAGTATGTAGCTAAGCTCCACCCTGGCCCCCTCCCCCAGTACTGGGCATTGAACCAAGGCCTTTGTATTTAGCTACATCCACATCCCTTTTTAAATTTTTGAGACATAGTCTTACTAAGTTGCTCAGGCTAGACTCGAACTTGTGATCCTCCTGCCTCAGCCTCCCAGAGTTCTGGGATTACAGGCACATGCCGCCATACCTGGGGAGCCTAGACTTTTGCCTGGCAGAGTCCAAACTCCTTCTGAAGCCTCACCAGAATGTCCTAGGCTCTGTGCAGGTTTTCCTGGAGGCACAGATTACAAGGCCTCCCTCTGTCTGGGAGGGAGGGTTCCAACCCCGCCCCGCACGGCAAGCTTAGGGAGCACTCACCCTGTTCCTTCTTGAACTCATTCTCACTCATAAACACAGGGGCCATCAGCTCCCCAACAGGAGGCTGAATAGAGACGTAAAACTGCCGAGTCTGGGTGCTGGCAAGGGTGGAAGGAGACGGAGGGAGTGAGTGAGACCAGCCCTACCAGCCAAAGGCAGGGCACAGGAATAGCAGGCCCCATGTGCAGACCTGAGCCTTGACATGGCTGCTAGGTACAAGCCCTGCCACTGCCCCACCCACCTTCCATTCCTTTCACCCTGCCACCCCACCTCGAGCTGCACACATACCATAGCTGGAAGTTGGCTGCCTGGGTTGAGTCGCAGAAATTGATACCCATTACAGCAGTGGCAGATTCCCCAGGTGCCAGCAACTCTGAAGTGATGTGAGGAGGGGGAGGGGGGAGACAAGGCACCATCACCCGGAAGGCCTGGAACAGGCTGGCCTCATTCTCCATGGAACCCTGCTTTCTGGGCCCCTGGAGACAGCTCCTCACTCTTTTTTACATCTAAACACCTTCCCTCACCCTGCTAAGTCAAGCCTGAAACAGCTAAGGCCCTAAGCTTCTGCTGCACATACCTTCCACCCTGTTGTGAGTTTGCTTCCTTCTCATCTGCCTTATCCACCAGGTATGGATCACGTTGGATGCCATGCCTGTGCCTCCCCCCCACCCCGCTTGGCTCAAAATGGCTACAAGCAACCACAGAAAGACTGACTCTGCCCAGGAGCCACCGCCTCCACCCCGTACAAGGCCTTTCTGTACCTATTTCAGGAAACTCTTGGATGCTGATGCCTGCAGGCAGTTTAGGGGTGCCCACGTGCAGGCCTTTGATGGGGGTCTCAGAGCTGTTGGAGAAGTAGATGTGCACAGACACCATGTGGGGGTCCCCGGAGAAAGGCTGGCGGCTGAAGGCATAGTCCACAGCCAGCCCCTCGCCAGCTACCTGGTGCAGCAGCTCCTGCCTCCCCACGCCCGGCACTGGGCTCAGCAGCTGGCGTGGAGGAGGAGGCACGTGTGGATGTGAGAGGCGGGCACAGGTGGCCCAGCCTCGCCCCCACCCAGGGCCATCCGTCAGTGAGATTCAAAGCCATCCCTCCACCACACCTCCCCACACATCCAAAGCAAGATCACAGGACGTGGCACAGAGATGCGACCCTGTCCCACCCTGTCCCTTCCCTGTCCCACTCACAGAGGGCACCAGAGAGGAGTCTGTGAGTGTCAGGCCCTCCAGGTCAGTAGCCAGACTGGTGGACACAACCATGGGAGGAGACACAGGCTGGACACTGGGAGGGGTGACTGCAGCAAGAGATATGGAGCACTGTGATTAGGGAGAGGCAGATAAAGTTGGCTCACACACCGGGAGCCTAGGTCTCAGGGAGCAAACGTTCAGCACCTCGGACAGCGAAACGCATAGCGGCGGGAGGCCACTTTGAAATACCACGCTAGGCCCCAGCTGCAGGTCTAGAGAACCTGACCCAGCACCGCGAGCCACATCCCCAGGCAACTCACAGTCTTCCAGGTCTAGCAGGGAGACTTCCTTGGTTCCAGGGCCACTCTTGCTGCTGGGAGGCTGAAAGGGCAAGGTGGGCCATGAGTGTGTACAGGGCTGCAGCCCAGCCTGTTCCCCACCACAGGAAGATGTCTGGGCCTCGGGCAAAGGCAAGGTGGCCCCACCAGGCCTTTACCGTTTTCTTCCTCCAGGAGGCAGGCTCTACCTGCTCATCCTCGGATTCTGATGTCACCTCGGACTCTGAGGAGCTGGTGCTGGCATCGCTGCCCTCCTCTGAGGATGAGTCTTCTCCATGCTCCTCTGGCACCTTTCTCCTCTTCTTCCTCTTCTTCTCACCCTCCTCCTCGCTCTGCTCACTGGAGGAGAGCAGGAGGAGCTCAGGCCCAACCTGCACACGATGCCTGCCCCCTGCCTTGCCTAACGGAGAGCAGAGGGAGCCAGGGGCTGTGGCCTCCAGCAGCTCCTGAGGTGCTCAGGGGCCCCATCTACTAAGCCCAGATGTTTGCCTCTCTTTCTCAGGGGACACCCCTGAACCCCACCAGCCATCTGGCCGGCTCCGCCTTACCTCTCACTGCCTCTCCCCTTCTCCTCGTCCTCACCCTGGTCCTCATTGTCCGACTCACTGCTGGACTCCCCAGAGCCGCTCTCGCTGCTGCTCTTGCTCTCCGACTCGCTCTCAGACTCGGGCTCTGCGGAGAGATGGCGTCAGGCCTCCCACTGCCAGGCTGGTCCCTGGACTGCCAGCTTCAGACTGCCCTGAAGCTTGAGTCCCCGTCACTTGTTCCTACCCCTGGATGCCAACTGGACGTGACAAGGACGCAGATGGGCCCCCAGGAGAAGAGGTTGTGCTGCACTTGTGCACACGCAGCCCTCACAACAGTGTGCCCTGCCCACAACCACACACATGCATGACAGGAGCCCCTGCCCATCTCACCACTGTCTGCAGACTCTGTGGGGCCCGACTCCCCCTCTGAGTCAGAGTAGAAGGGCTTTTCCTTCTCCTTCCTCTTCTCCCGATTGGAGCACTTGGTCCACTCAGGTACCTGGAGGTGAGGCGAGGGGGTTGTCATCTCATGGCTGGAGTGGGGAACAACAGGATGGGCCCTGCTCACCCTCCACCATGCCTCTTCTCCAGGGAATGGAGCAGAGGAAGGGGACAGAGGCCTAGTCCACAAAGGGGAGGGCTCACTGCCCTCAGAGGGGCAGTCAGCATGAGAAGGCAGGTGCAGCACACAGGGGAGGGAAGAGAAGGCACACGGCACACACGGGGACCTCAGTGTATTCGCCCAACAGGCCCACGTGGGTCTCGATAAGGGAGAGGTCTTCTTCCTGTGTGCAGGACACTGTCAGGAGGGTTGGTGTCGCTGCTAGGGCTCCCTGCTTTCTGTCCCCCCAGATACACACACCCAAGTCCACCCTGCGCCCTTGCTGACCTCCACGTTGCGCACAGACGGGTCAGGGGCTTCCTCTGGCCAGTCTGGGAGCTCTTGGTAGCCTGTGGCCTTGGCGTTGAGCAGGTGGGAGAGTGAGCCCAGCTGAAAATGGTCCCGGTCTGAGGACAGGGTTAGAAGTGAGAAATGTCCCAGAGCCGTTCCTGGGAGGTGACTCTGGTTGGGACTCCCTAGCTGGGCAGGTGAGAGGAAATGGATGTATCCCCTACTGGTTCTTGTGCCAGATAGCACCACAGGCCCCCACACTGGAAGGACGGGGCAGGAATCAGGGAGTAGGGGAGAGGTGGACTGCAGAGGTGGGCGGGTGTTGCTGGGCCAGAGAGACCACTAGCTTGTCTGCTCTGGTCAGTGGAGGGGCCGATGTGGGGTGGGGGGTGACTTCACTGCCACAGCACAGCCAGGTGCAGGAGGAAGGCTGGCATTAGGGGAAGGATGAAGCTGTGAATGAGAGACTAGCCATCCCAGGCCATGGGGAGGAGGCACATCTGGCTGGACCCTGTGGAGGGAGTCGGGGTTGGGAGTCGGGTGGGCGGTGTAGGAGAGAGCAGCCCAGATGCCTGCAGGTGAAGACAGGGTCAGGCAGAAAGGGACTGCTGCTCTCTTCTCAGGAGGTTTCAAAGTTGCTCCCCACCCTACCTCAATCTCCTTATTCTGAGGTCCAGGGAAGGGACTGAAAAAAAGTGGGAGACTGCGGCTTCTCCCCTGTGCAAGGTGCTAGTTTTGATTCCTGTGGTGCAGAGAGGCAGCCAGAGGACCCCCCTCCCAGCTAGGCCCAGAAGTAGAGGTGAAGCTCAAGGCCAGGGATGGGGGGTTGTGGCTGACCTCAAGGGACCCAGAAAGCAGTACTGGCAACTGTCTTCTTCTTACACATCTGTTTCTCTCTTGTGTGCTGTTTTACTTTCTGCTTTCCTGGGCCCTAGGCAGTCAACACTGTGACAGATTCCCAAGCCTAGAGCCTGCTTAGGGAGGCAGATGAGAGAGGAGGAAGGGAGGACAGGACCCAGGACACCAGGCCTGATCGGGACACAGACACTTAGTGAGACAATGCCAGCAGTGACTGTGGAGGGGACACAGTGGGCTCTGGGTGCCATGGGAGGGGAAAAGGGACAGGCCCTGGCATCTCACTAGATGCTCTGCCCACAGAAGCCTGGTGCTCAGCTGAGGCTGGGCTTTACAGGCAAGGGCTAGGGCCCTGGTCAGCTCCCATCTGCTCCCAGGGGTCACCGTAGTTTCAGCTCCCACCTTTGAAGGAGGACTCCAAAACTGGGGCAGGCTTGGGGGCAAGGAAGAGCTTCTTGGCATGGCGGCTGAGGGCCCCACCCTGCTCAGAGGGTACAATGAGCTGGCGGGTGAAGCGCGCTCGGTCTCGGATATCGTAGTTCTGGTCATACTTGGCCAGGCTCAGCACATACTGGGTCAGCAGCTTGGTCTGGGGAGATACAAGCAGTGGCTCAGCAGCCAGCAGAGAGGGCAGGACACAGCAGGCTGGGGTTCAGCTGCTTCTGACAGGCAGCTCCAGGCAGACCTTCTCCTCATGAGACTAGCTTCTCATCCAACTTTCCCATCCCACCAGCCAGGGCTCTGGGCTCTGCTTCCTGCCCCCAACTTCCGTGACTGCTTCAGGCCAACAGAAGAGGTTGCTCTTTTGGACACTCTTCCTTGTGGGCCCTACACTGCCCAGGCCTGGTACATCCATCCCCACCCTGGGGAGGCTGAGGAGAGGCTGGAGCATTCTGTTGGAACCCACAGTTTTCAAGGCCCACCACCCATAGGGAAACTAGACAACAAAAAGAGATAAACAGGGACCTGTTTGGCAGGAGATGCCCCCTATCAACTCACACAGTGGAGTCTGAGCAGCCCAGGGGTCTCAGAGACCCTGATCTTCCCCCCAGAAGTTGCTAATGAAATCAGAGCAAACTGCAGGTTCACAGTCTACAGTCAAGGTGGCCACCTGCACTGGTCTGGGCGTGGTGTAACCTAGCTTTACGTGACCACAGTGGCAGAGCCACCGCAGCTGAGGGGCCTTCTGGTGCTCTGCACTGTGCTGGATGAACCACAGGCTCCTCTAACCTCTACATCCTGTTCAGAGGTGCGTGCCATTGCCTCGTTCTACAGAGAGGAAGCAGAATCATGGAGTGACTCCTTCCTGGCTGAAGAGCTCATCTGCTGTGCCCAGATCCGGACCACAGCAGCCCCACCTGTCTCTTTCCCCACAGCCTGCATGCCAACAGCAGGGGCTGCCACGACCTAGATCTCCATGTCTTCATTTCACGGAACCAAGATCAAAACCACCAAGTAAACACAGCCAGAGTGCAAAGGGCTACAGGGCCCAGCAAAACTGAGCCCGGGACTGCCCCAGTCTTCCTGAGGCTTACAATGACACACTGTTACACCAGTGCTGGACATGGCTGGCTGAGCTACTCAGCAGGGCCACGCGGCAGATGTGCACAAGAGACACAGCCCTCTGGATGCTGCCAAATTGGCTGCCATGGCAGAACCACCCCACACTTTAGTGAACCTCGGACTCCACTCCTGCCTACAACAACCCACAGGGACCTCAGCAGCCTCACATTCAGTTCAGTCCCTTCTAGCATAGCAATACTGTTTAGTCACAGCTATATACTTCCTACCCCATAGTCCTCTGACACTGTGGATCTAAAAATATGAAAATAGAACAGGATGTGGTGGCATATGTCTGTAATCTCAGCACTCTAGGGGGCTGGGGCAAGAGGATTACAAGTTTGAGTCTATCCTGGGCAATTCAGTGACTTAGTGAGACCTTGCCTCAAAATTAAAAATAAAAATAAAAATAACTCTGGAGCTATAGCTCAGTGTGAGGACCCTGGGTTCAGTCCCCAGAATTAGTGAGTAAATAAATAAAAATATGAAAATATTTGCCATCACAATGGGCTTCATTAGCTGCTCCTCCCTTGACCAGACAGGCTGGTGGATGCCCTTATCAACATGACCTGTTATCAAGCTATAGGTGACCCCCCCCTTTGGTTTAGGATCGTGTCCTTTTCCACAGACTTCCCAGATCAGGTGCATGTCAGCCCCCTGCCCTAGCATCTCTCTACCCAGGCTGCATCATCAACCTGCTCCTTCCTCCGTCTGAGCAAAGACAGCGCGAAGACACCCGTCCAATGGTTGAACACGGCCCCACGCTGCTCTCTCTCTACCTTCTCCTTGTCCACTTCCTTCCCTACAATCCCAGCACCCACAGATCTAGTGCCTTGTTGCCCCCACATTTAGCTGCTGTCCTTTCTGGCTCCTGACAAGAGTCCCAGCATGTGATAACCCTGCCTAGCCAGCTTGAGTCCTTGGGGCCCACACTGGCCACCATAAATCACAACAGCCCCTGAAGAAGCCACGTGCCACCATCCAAAGACTCCCATGGAACTTTAGAGGGGCCACCTTCAGGCTGAGCAGGCACAACCCTGTTGCCGACCCCAGCCCTCACCTGGGGATTTTCCTTCAAGGGCTTGTGCATGTTTTCTATAAAAGGCCAGAAAGAAATTAAGCTTTGTGGGCTAGATAGACTGTTTCAACCTGTCAGCTCTGCCGCTGCAGCACTGAAGCGGCACAGAAAAATTTTTACAGAATTTAGCAAAAACAAGCAGCAAGCCAGGTTTGGCCTGGATACAGCAGTGAGCTGAGCTGATGGGATAGTGAGGGTGGAGCTATTGTGGTGTTTTGTGTCTCCAATGCCTTTGAAAGCTTTGCGCTTTATTCTTAGACTACCCCGGTGCCATCTCAGGAGATGCCAATACCCAAGAGGCTTTCAGCACTCTGATGCTCCTGCTCAATTAAGCCTCATCCTTGGCTGCGCTATCTCTTGTAGCCTGTCACCTAAGGGAGGGATAGTGGTCACCATACCACCCAAACCTGGGCAGAGATTTCCCCTCTTCCCTGGCACCATCTGGCCCAGCATCGCTCTGCTTTGCTTGGAAGCACAGCCCACATCCATAACTGGTCACCACTGGCCCCATCCCTTGGCCCTGGGCAAGTGAGGTTCTTTATAGTCCCTTTTCTGAAGGTGGCCAACAGGGACACTCCTATAGGAAGATGGCAGGCCTATCTCCCCAGAATAGCCATGGACACTGGTATAGCCCTGGTTAGCTGGGCAAACTAGCCACTTATCCCTTTTCAGAGAGGCTCGAGTTCGGGCCTGCCCAGGGAGAGCCAAAGGAATACCGCTTAGGGCAGTTCCAGGGGACCAGAGAATGGGGGTGCACCTGTCAGTGTTTACCTGCTTAGAGTTAGTCAGGTAGAGCTTGGCAGCCAGGTTGATGACCTGCAGCTTGACAATATCCTCCTCTGCAGTGAACGATTTGGCCATTTTTCTCAGAACATCAGGTGCAATCTTGGGCACATGCTCACAGTACTCGCCGATGAGCCACAGGATGCTGGCTCGTGCCATGGGCACCTGTGGGTATGGGAGAGGAGTTAGGACTGGGGCCAGTGTGGCAGTGTGGGTGGGTGGCAATGGGGACCACCAGGTGCCCCTCTCAGCTGTGCTGGCCTGTTGTCTGGAATTGGGAAGAGGGGGGGGGGGGCATGGGAAGGTGAGCATTTCCGGGAGAGCATCTCCTCTCTTCCCCAGTGTTTTACTAGGACCCCAATGTGAGTCATGGTTTAAAAGGTTGATTTTTCTGGATTCACTGCACCCTCCGAGCTTCACATCGTGTTACTCTTTCTGAGTTTTCAAGAAGGCAATGTGTGAATGTTTCAACTCAGCAGTACCTTGGTCAGCCAGCTATCCCCAGGTGGAGTTTTGGGGAGAAAACAGGGCAGAGGTCCAGGCCACAGAGCATGGTGGGGAACCCAAAGGGGAGGCAAATCTTGGCCAACAAGGCCAGGGTCACACAGCCCAGTGTCTCTCTCTCCTCCTCCTAAAGACCTCACAGAGAGAATGTGGAAGGTCTGAGAGCTGACTCTGATAAGACTATTTAACTGTAGTGCTTTTAAATCATGGGAACAATGTTGCGGGGGTGAGAAACATGGGGCTCTCTCACCTGGATGTTGTCTGTGAGCTTTGCCAGGTGTTTGATGATCTCCCCATGCTGTGCTGGCTGCATCTGCAGCAGCTTCTTAATGACCACCACAGACTCTGCAACCACCAGCTCTAGGGAATGACAGTGAGTGTGATCACACCTGGGGACAGCCCTCGAGGGACAGGGCTACCTGGACACTAACTGAGGTGGACAGATGAACAGACACACTGTGTCTAGACAGACAGCAGGGTCAGTCATGCAGGTGCTCACTAAGCACCAGGGCTGGACACGCAGACAGGCAAGCACTGACCATCTCGGTTGGACAGAAGCTGCACCAGGCCGTTGAGGCAGGTGTCACGCACTCGGCCTATGTTAGTTGCACAGCGTCCGATGGCCTGGATGGTGGCTGCTACGAAGTCTTTATCCATGCTTCGAATGTAGGTCTGAAGGATCATGACAGAGAAGCCCCAGCAGGCAGTAACCCCGCAGTGACTGCAGGTTTGAGTATATCCCAGCAGGAAGACTATTGTCTTCCCACTTGTCACACCAGAGGCTAAATCTTGGGAGAGGGAATGATATCCCAGCCCCAGCTCTGACATCTCCACTGGAAGGAGACTTAAGATAATCATTCCTCTTGCTTGGGGCTCTTAGGACAAGGTGTGACCTGCTGGGGCAGTTGTCAGGGAGCCCAGGATCTGAACAGCACCCCACCTGGAACCCGCTGGCTGGTACCTGGAATTCCCGTAGGACAGTAGGGATGTTGGTCTCATTGGCCAGGTTGGTCAGCACTTCCAGCTGCGGGGACAGCAGGAGAGCACAGAGTGAGCAGGGTGGCCTGTGCATGTCCCATGCTGTCACACCCCAAACAAGCTTCCCCACCAGGACACAATCCTCGGGACAGCCCTGCAGCAGCCTCAGGCTGGCGAGGGGACAGACAGACCCCAAATGCAAGAGGACCAGACTGCCTCCTACATGATGCCCTGACACAGTAGCCTTCTAGGATTGGGTCACTTCTCCCCTCTGTGGAAAACTTAGAGCTGCCCACTGCTTTTAGGATATTACCAAGTCTTTACTCTGGGCTGCAAGTCCCTGGATGATCTTACCGCCAGTGGCTGGCCCTCACCTCCCAGCATTCTACTTGTTGCTGCATTGATACACTTATCTGTCTGCCTGTCTGCCTTTCTGGCAGTACTGGGGATTAAACCCAGGGCCTTCACATTAAGCTACATCTCCAGCCCTTTTTAAAATTTTTTAACATTTTGAAACAGGGTTTTGTAAAGTTGCTAAGTTGCCCAGGGTAGGCTCAAACTTATGATCCTCCTGCCTCAGCCTCCCAGAGTGCTGCGATTATAGGACTACTGCTATGCCTGGCATCACACACCCTTTCTGCTGCAGGGCCTTTGCATCCACTGTTCTCTCTGTGTAGAGCAATTCTTTTCATCCAGCAGTTAACTAATTAATCCATGTTCATGTCTCAGGCCCCACTCGAGGTTCATCTTCTCCAAGGAAACTTCCCTGACACAATTACATAAGGAGACTTTATTTTATGCTTCCTGCTGAACTCTTTCTTACCATATTTCATAAAGGGATTAGTACCTTTGTCTTGTGATTAGCTGCTTAGTGTCTCCTCTTGTCCTACATGAACCATGAGCTCCACAAGGCCAGAGTCCCTGATAATTCTGTCCCACCTTGTACCCTCAATCTAGCAATGATCTTGATAGCACAGTTCATGTCCCCAAGGGTTAACTATGGCTGAATGCAGTAGCTCCCAGCAGGGGAGCAGGGACGGGTGGGGGGTGGGCTCCTGCCGCTTCCTGTCTCCTCTTTTTGCACCAGAGCCTGAGGGAGCAAGTGTGGGGCCCAGAGACAGAACTAGAAGAGAAAAAGTGTGAACCTCGGGGTCACTGACTACGGCTTGGTCATCACCTCACCTCCTGACTCTACACTGTTACAAAACCGAGTCATCCACATTTCCAGGGGTTACTGTGAAAATCCAGGCCCTTCTCATGGATGAGTAGCTGTGTGTAGTAGGCAAAGGGCAGTTCCCCTCTCCTGGGCCCCCAAGCAAGGGCTGCAGCTGGGAGTCCTGGAACCAGCTGTGGGGAGGGGGAGACTGGAGGCCCGCCCCCGCTCACTCACCTTCAGGATCTTGATCTGGGTGGGGTCGGTGGACCTGATGTAGAAACTCTTCAGGTAGGGCTCAAACATCCCCTGCGTGTGAGAGAACGGCCAGAACTCCACCACAGCCCCACCACCTCTGACACAGGCCGCACCCCTTCCTGGTATTCTCCCCTCCACCCTGTCCACCCCGCCTTTCCTTCCCTGGGTGTCGCCCCTCAGCGACCTCTCAAGGTCTACGACCTGTTTCCAGCCTCCATCTAGGTCTCCCCTTTCCCAACCCCTGCCTGGCTAGGGCAACCCCCATCTTGCCCTACCGCCCCCTGGACTCCCCTGCTGAGAGGCCTGAGACAGGCGGAGCAGGCCTGTCGGGTAATAAGCTCACCCTGCGCTTGATGGACATGGTAGCCACGTTCTGGAGCACCACGTACTGCACCTCACTGTGGAGAGGACAGGTCAGCTGTTCCTGGGCCACTTGGTTGGGGCAAGGAGTAGCAGGTGGGGCGTGGGCTCAATAGTTGGGTGGAGAGGATCAGTGAGTGGGAGGAAGGTGGGACTGCGCCAGCAAGGGATGAGGAGGGGGCAGGGGGTCGGGGGAGCAGGATCAAGGGACAGCTGGGGGGCGCTCTATGGGAGGTGGGCGTGGGCTCGGGTGAGCCGGCTAGGTGGGCGGGGTGTAGGCGGGGAGTGGGCGGGGCGGGCGCACCTGTGGCTGCGCAGCAGGCGCACCAGCGCCTTGGCGATGACGCCCACCTCCGCCTTGGGCGCCAAGTGGAAGTAGAGCTGCGCCACTGCCATGACCACCGCGGCGCTGCGGCTCTGCAGCAGCGGCTTGGTGTTGCGCAGCAGCAGTCGGTGGTCCGGGTCCATGACGTAAGGCTTGCGGGCAGGCAGTGCCGTGGGGGCCGCCGCCTCAGGCCCAGCGCCCTTGGCCTCGTCCTCCTCCGAGCCATAGAAGGCTTTCTCTGGGTTCTCCTCCAGCAAAGACTCCTAGGATGGGGGGACAGACGGGCCGTGGTGCCTTCCTCCGCCTCCCTGCCGCCCGCAGGGTCCGGGCCGTGGCCACTCACGTTCTGCGTGGGGCTCAGGAACTGCGTTCGGGCGTAGCGCGTGAGCATGCTGATGATGACCACCTGGCCCCACTCCTCCACGTCGATCAGCAGGTTGCACAGCTTCCGGTAGTTCTTGTGGATCAGGTCGATGCGCTCGGGGCATACCTCCTCAAATGCCATCACCACACTGCCCGCCACCAGCTAGGGAGCAGACCCAGGTGACAGTGAGTAGGGGAAGGACAGAAAGACGGCGCCCGGCTCGCCCCCTATCCCCCGTCTGCCCAGGGCACACGCACCGTGGTTTTGTCAGCCAGAAGCTTCTCGATGACTTCTATGAGCTGGTCCTTCTGGTCAGAGTCCAAACTGAGGGAGACATGGTGGGCGCGAGTTCAACCCCTCCTGTCCCCGGCCAGGCTCAATCTTGGCACCCCAGCCCTAGCCATGAAGAGGTGTGGGCCCTAGTCCACTGTCCTCCATCTGCCAGTTCCCAACCTGCCTGAAGCCACCTGGAGCAGCCTGCAGACTCGGGAGAGGGTGGGGTGGATTGGGGTTCAGGAGCTGGTTCCCAGCGGAGCAAAGGCAGGCCCAGGCCATACCTGTACAGCTTCGGGATAGCATGGGCAGCCGTTTTCCGCACGTAGGGCGACATGTCCGAGGCAGCTTCCTTGATGGCCAGCATCATGATGGGCACGATGATGGGCACACGGATGCTGGAGAGGACTCGGAGGGCACTGGCACGGATCAGCTGGTTAGGGTCCTAAGGACAGAGATGGAGATGGCCATGAGAGGGCACCAGCTGCCCTGACAGCAGGGACCATGCTTTTGGAAGGCACTGTCCCTGGCTGCTCCCACCAGCGCCCACTTCCCTGCCCCCAGACCTGAGGCCAGAGTGCACCTGGCTGGAAACCTGGGGCACTGAGTCCTGTCTCTGGCTGCAGAAATCTCACACCTAAGCAGGTGTGGCAAGGGGCAGCTTTGCTTGCAGAAGAAGTGAAAAATGTTCAGAACCCCTCAGGTTCCTGAAACCCTTGTGTGCTTAGTGGGGAGTCTGCCTTTGTGACTAAGGTGACTGCCAGTAAATGCAAGCTGGCCTGTCTTCCAGAGTTCACCCCATGTGCCTTTCCCCACATAACTTCAAAGGCTACATTTGCACCCAGCTTAACACAGAACAGGTGCACAGGTCCTGTGGGTATTCTGTGCACACCTGCCAAGAGCACTGGGCATGCTGGAATACATTTGGGAAGCTTGAAGTTGTCTTTTTACTAGTGGCAGCAGCAGCACCTGCAGCTGCATTTGTAGCGAATGGTGGACAAGGGGAGAGTATTGGGACACTAAAGGTAGATGTAATCAATTTTCTAAAAATGGGCAGTCACAAAATCACAGATGGAAGTGATGGTAATTCTTGACATAACTCTGGAATTATTTTTAAAGAGGTGATTTAGAATCACTTATTTAGCCGGGTGTGGTGGTGCACGCCTATAATCCCAGCACTTGGGAGGCTGAGGCACGAGGATCGTTGCAAGTTTGAGGCCAGCCTCGGCTACAAAGTGAGTGCAAGACCAGCCTGAACTGCAGAGTGAGACCTTGTCTCAAAAGACAGGAAAAAAAAAAAAAAAAAAGTTAAACACTAAAATCACTTATTTAAAAAGCAGGTGTATTTTCTTAGAGCCAAATCATATCACATCAACAGTAAGGACCTGATTTTCTTTTTATTTTATTTCTATTTGGAAATGATTACAGAGTCACAAAAAATATTTTTAATAGGGTAACTAAGCTGTAAATGTTAGCACTGTGTATCTTGATTTCAGCAAGACCTTCATAAGAGTCTCTCATGCATTTCCTGCATTGCTTTTTTGATTAGGGCTTTTGCCTCAACTAATATGTTAGCTTTTTAAGAACAGAATTCAGGTCTATTTTATCTCCAAATTAGCCATAGCCCTTTGCACATGAAAGTTGCTAAAAAATTTTCTCTTGGTAATGAGTAAGATTCAGGAAAATGTTGGCTGACTGTACAGTTAGTGGACTCACAACTGGGTAAAAATGTATTGGGAGAAGGTTTATTAAGAGATCACTGTCAACCCCAAAACATGCACAGCCTCCAAGTCTGCCCTGATGTTTATCAATATCTTAGAGGAAGAAGAAAAAAAAATCTTAGAGGAAGACACAAAATCAAGAGGGGCAAATTAAAACTTATCACCCTGGCTTAGACATAATGATAAACCAATGAAATACTAAAGTAAGATTTCATTGTAGGTGAAAGGGGTCATCTGCACAAAGACAGGATGCAGAGGAGCCTAGGTTCTCTGCTTGCCAACCTGAGGTTTGACTGCATGAAATGTGCTAAGAAAGTAAACCAGGCCTCAGTGTGGGCCAATAGATGTGGGGAGCCATGGACAACTATAACTGGTTCCAGTGTACAGGAAAAGCCAAAAATCAGAGGAAGAAAGCAAGTTGTGAAGGAATACAAACATAGAATAATACCATTTACAAAACAATATGTATTCTTTAGCAATGCATAAATAATTGGCAAAGGCTGGTAGGCTACAAGCCTCAGGTCAAATCTGCCTGCTGCCTCGTTTTTAATAAAGAGCTACTGGAACATAGCCATGACTACTTGTTCATGGATGCTTCTGCCTCCCAAGGGCAAAATGGAGTAGTTGTATGGTTGACTTGATATGGCTTGCAAGACCTAAAATACCATTTGGTCCTTTACAGAAAGTTTGCTGACAACTGTTCTAGCAAAATCATTGCATTGAGTTAGACTAAGTTTTCTAAAATTGGGGAAGGGGCATATTGTAGAAACTACAGGAGAATGCAAAACTTGTGAAAAACTCCAGAATAGTTTTCATAAAATGATTTAACCTTGATTCAGACCAAGAGATTACTTACTAATCTGCGATGAGGTTCATGGTTTTGCCTCATAAAAACTATCTAGCACAATGTATGACACTGTATTAACTAAATTAATGAGTTGTATATGCAAGAGACCGTGCTTTCTACCCCATCCTGGAGTAACAGATTCTGTCAACCTCTCCTGCCAGTCAACAGCAGATTGCCCAGCAACCTACAGAACCGTGAGAGGGCCCCCCTCACAGGTATTTGAAAGAAGAGTGTGAAAAAAAACCCATGGGAGTCAGTAGTTATAATCAGGGCTGAAAATATGATATATAACATATAATATAAATCCACAGGGGGGACTCATGCATTTAACATATATGAATTAAACTCTTGGTCCTGGGTGGAATAAAAGATGGGAATATTCACAATTTATTTAATAGTCTGATGATTCAGCTCACCACATCATATGAAAGGACTTGAAGCTTCCTACAGTTTCTGCCCTTAGTTGATTTCAATTTCTGCCTGCCTCAAGTGACATTTATCACAATAGATGTGATCCAGATGTTTGAAGATGGGTATTTTTCATACACCGAGGCATCTGGGGCAAGCCAACTGTATGTGGTGTGAGACACAAGAAAGATTTGTCCCACCTCTAGAAGAATCACTGGCTGTACTGAATGTACTGGGAATTTGCAGGGTTAGGTTTTTTTTTTTTTCTTTTTTTACCCAGGGTTAATTTTGATGTAGATAATTTTGTCTTTTGTGCTGACCTTAGCAGCACAGTAAACTGCTGTTTTCTTCTTGGTGAAGCTCATTTGTTCTTAGCATATCCTTCTGTGTTCCCTAGCAAGTTCCAGGCAAAAAGATTCAAACAGGTATTGTTCTCTACAGACACCTAGACAAGACAAGCCCGTCAGGGCCAAGGCTGCACTGCCCCAAGCTGAGGAGTTCAGGACATCACTGCCCAGACTCCTTCCCAGGGGGTTGACTTCTGCCTGGCCATGGGCTACAGCTCCCACCTGTATACTGGTGGAGGTGCAGGCCATCAGGGGCTCAGTGATTCACACTGAGGCAGTTACCATGGCTTGAGTGTCCTCACCAGAGCTCATGGTGAAATTCAATGCCCACTGGCAAGTACTGTATTAAGACCATACAGGAACAGGTGGGATGTTTAAGGGTGGGACCCCAAGGTGACTGAGTCAGGAGGGCTCTGAATTAATGGATTAATGGGTCATTCACTTAACCGTAAGTCTGTTATAAAAGCCAGTTTGGCTCTGTCTCTTGTATGTAGCCCTCTCACCATGTGACACCCCATGCCAGCTCAGAGTTCTGGAGTCCCCACCAGCAAAATGTCACCCTCAACCTTGGGCCTTCAAGCCTTCAGCTCTGTGAGCTGAATAAAACTCTATAGTCTCTATAAATTACTCAGACTATGGCATTCAGTTACAGCAACAGAAAAGGGACTAAGACATAGCCATTACCACAGGCTCTTCAGAGGTAGGCAGCTATGGGCTGAGCACCCAACTCACCTCTTACGCCCTTTGGAGTCTGCTCTCCACCCTGGCTCTGACCCTCCCAACTTTTGGCAGGCAGGAAGGGCTCCAAACACTCACAGCCTTCCCTGGCCCTCCCCTCAACACACAACTCCAGCTAGGAACAGACCCCAGGGAGGCAGGTGGAGACCTCTAACCTTTAGGCCACGCTGGAAGGTAGAGATGGACAGCAGGGCCAGGTCCTGCTGCTCCTCTGCATAGCGTACCAGGTACACATAGACAAGCTTCTTCACCTGGAGGACAGCAGTCTCTCACTGGGGGGCTTCTCAGCAGGGGCTAGGACCCCCCACCTCCCAAGACGTCATCACCCAATCAGCTTCTGCCCATGGGACAAAGTCTTCAAGCAGAGGGACAGCATCCTTGAATGTCTGGGACATTTCTGGGCAGCTTGAGCATGTTTAGGGGGAGAGGCCCTCACTGGGCAGAGCTCACCTCTATGTTCTTACAGGCCACGTTCTTCACCACTGCAGGAAACAGGTCTGAGGCGTTCTTCCCACGGGCGATCATCTGGGTGGTGGGGTCAAGGTAGGGAAAGGAGAAGGGCAGAGCATGGCACTGATGAGGGAAGTCCACGGGGACCTGAGGAGAGCTGCCCTGGGACACTCGGCCCTCCCTTTGAGACACCCCTTTCCCCGCTCACCGCCACAATCCTCTTCATGGCCTCCAGCTTGAGGGAATCCTTGTTGGTGTCCAGCATCTCCTTCAGGTCATCGTGCCTGGTGGGAAGCACAAGAGGTCAGCTGAGCACCAGGCTGGAGGTCGGGGTATTGATCATAGGGCTCAGGCGAGGGAGGGGACATGGTAAGGGGGGCTCGGATAAGGCACAACCAGCAGCAGAGGGACCACAGCCAGGGGAAGGGGTTGAAGTGTAGACAGAAGACTCCAGGTGTGGAAGAAACGTGCAGGCCAGCCAGGGATGGGGCTGAATTGTGTTCCTCTGCCAAAGAAAAGATGCTGAAGTCCTAAGCTGCAGTACCTCAGGATGGGATTTTACTTGAAAATAGGTTTGTTAAATATATAATTAGAGATGCTATTTGATTTATGACGGGGTTATAGTCCCATAAATCCATTAATGAGGTAAGAATCTCATAAATTGAAAAGGAATTTAATACACTTCCCCTGTCAAACATCACAGTTAAAGCTAGCCTACCTTAAACATGCTCAGAACACTTATCTTAGCCCGTGGAAAAGCATGCATGAAAGTTAATCTACTATATTTTGCTAGCCTAGGACAAGATTAAAATTCAACATTCAAAATAGTTTCTATTGAAGGAGTATGGCTTTCATACCATCACAAGGTAAAAATAATCATTAAACCAAACCATCATAAGTTAGGGAATGTTTATACTTAAGTTAAAAGAGGTCACACTACAGTAGGGTGAGTCTGAGTCTAATATGCCTGGTATTCTCATAAGACAGCCACGTGAAGGGACAAGACACAAAGAGAAAGCAGCGTGAAGACAGAGGACTGGAGAGAGGTGTCTGCCAGCCAAGGAATACCAGACAGCCAGCAATGCACTAGAAGCCAAGAAGGGGTAAGGAAAGATTGCCCCACAGAATTCAGAGGAGCACAGTCCTGTTGCCACCTTAACTTCAGACTTTTGGCTTCCAGAACTGTGATACAGTACATTTCTATTGTTCTAAGCAACCCAGTTTGTGGTTCTTTGTTATAGCAGCCACAGGAAACTGATACCACCAAGGACAGAGGAAGTATGCAAGGTACGAAGGTGTGGACTCTGCTCAGGAAATAAGGTCACTTGGATGGACAAGAGACACCGGTGAAAGGGAGTGGGTGTCAAAACAACAGTAAAATGCCTTTTTGCCTTTGCCAGCACACAGGGTGTTTGCAGGTCCTGACCTCCAGACCGAACTGAACTGACTCCAAGGCCGAGGCAGGGGCCAGGATTCCACAGGTGGCCTCATGCAAAGGTTATACCTGTTCCTCAACATTCCACAGTTCTTCAAGGAACTTATAAAACCCAAATGGGGAAATAAGCAATCCCTTGCACCTGGCAGAGGAGAATGAAGGTAGTGGCTAAATCAATACATAGATTTCATACAGTGTCCATTGACATTTCAGAGGGAGCACTGGGTCAAAGTGAAGTAAGAGCAGAACTGACCTGGAAAAAAATCTTTGGGAAAGGATATCTTTGGGAAAAGAAGAAAATAATGACAGATAACTCACACTCCTAGACATCAAAACACAAAGCAACATGATGATGACAAAAGCTTAGTGGTGCCAGGTTAAAAACAGGAGATCAAAGGTTATGAGGGAAATTTCATAAAAGGATTTAAGTTGATGTATTAAGGACACATAACTCATCAGTGGGGATGGGACTTCATTTTCCCCTTACATAAATGCTGTTACAAAGAGTCTAACCCGCATACATATTCCACACCAAAATAAATCCCACATTTGCTTAAGAATGATTTTTAAATATGGAAGGAAGGAGAACATTTTAATTTCAAGGTCAGAAAATTATCAGTAACAAGATGGCTAAGTTTACATTTTTAAACTTTGGTATATAAAGGCTAAATTTAAGGAAGAAAATAAGGCAGCTGTATTAGTTTTTCAGAGCCACCACTGTGAATATTATAAAGTACCACAGATGGTGCGTTAAACAACATAAAGTTATTTTCCCACAATTCTGGAGGCCAGAAGTCTGGCATCAAGTGGTGGAGGGTTGGTTTCTTCTGAGGCTTTCTCTGTTTGGTTAAGATGGTGTGAAAATCATCAATATCAAAATGAAGTCATTTATGTCAAGCCCAAACAAAATGGAGCTGGGAGACCATGAACAAAAGACCCTCAGGTCTGTGGGGAAAACTATAATGGGGACTCTCTGAAGCAGCCAAGATTCCAAGATCTTCTGCCTAGCAATGGGTATCTCCGCAAACAAGCTAACACCAAGCCTGGCAAAAGCCCTCATAACCAACAGCCTTTGTATTAAAACAGCGGATGTGGACTCTTTTTTTTTAACACTTCTCTCTGCTGCATCCTCTTCACAGTGATCCACTGCACACATATCCCCTACTGTAATCCTTGCTATTCCTGAATATGCTCTGTGAAAAACAACATTTGGTCTCTGACCCAACTCCTCAGACAAAGCTCCCAAAACCTTGTAGATAGAGGGGCTAGAAGATTCATTTGCTCTCATACTTGAACTGGGGTCTCTGACCTGATGCAGAGCTCCTAAGACCTTTTTTATTTCCCACGTGACGGGCACATTTGACCCAGTTTCTAAATCCCCTGGAATTTCCTGGGTGATAGAATTTTTTGTTATTAGAAGGTTGGAACTCTCAGGCCACCCCCACCCGACCTCCAATGAGGGGATGGTCGAACTACCGTTTGAGTTAATCACCAGTGACCAACATGTAGTCCACACCTACAAAATGAAGTCTCTGTGAAAGCCCAAGAGGCCAGGGCTCTGAGAGCTTCCAGAGTACTGAACATATGCAGGTGCCTGAAGAGGGGCCATGAGGAAAGGATCCCTCGTGCCCGGCCGCCCTGTCTTCTCTTCCATGTGGCCATTCATCTATATCCTTTTCCTCTATCATAATCAAATGTGGGCCAAGTTTCGTCAAGTTTTGTGGGTGAGAAGTACTGGTGACAACCTATTACTTAACAACTGACGTGTGAAGCAGGGGCAGGCTTGCGGCTCTGACACCTCAGGGAGATAGGGCCTACACTGAACTGAACTGTAGGACTCTAGTTGGTGCCATCAGAGAACTGGTGTTGGTCGGGGATCCGCACACCTTTGGGTGACCAGAAGCATAATGTTCTCGGGTGAGTGGTGTGTATGAGAGTTGCAAAAACACACTTTGGTTTTTTCCATATCTTGCAGCCATCTTCCCCCATGTCTTCACATGATCTCCCTTCTGTGCTCTCCATGCTCAAATGTCGCCTTCTTATAGGACTGTAGTTGTACTGGGTGAGGGTAACCATAATGACCTTATTTAGCTTAGTTACTTTAAAGACCTGATCTCCCAATAAGGTCACATTCTGAGGTACTGGGGGTTAGGAATTCATCAATTCAGAATACACTTCAGCCCATCACAGCAGCAAAAAGTAAAATACTTGGAATATGATGAATATGAATTTAATATTCAAAATAGATTTTTAAAAACTGATGCAAATTTATAAGACCCATGTCCAACATTGACTGTCAGGGCTACAACAAGCCCATCTGCCATCTGCTTGTCTCACCAGGCAGACACAGCATTGAGCTGTCACTCCCCATTTAATCAGTGGAGCATGGGCTGGTATTCCTTGGCCAAGTGCCCTTGTGCAGTAAGCAACCTGCCCAACCATATTCAGCAGTCCTGGGACTGATAATCAAAAAGTGGAGAGAGAATTGTAAATGAACACATGAAAAGGGTGTTCCTATGCCACTGATATGAGCTGATGACAACTGATTCACTCATATGTAGCTGGGGGTGGTGGTGCACACATGCCACTGGTGCTGATAACCCCAAACTTTTGATGCAGGTGCAAGAAGCCAGCCTTGAGAAGTATCATAAATGTTAGAAATTAAAAAGCAGGGGGCTGGGGATTTAGCTCAGCAGCAAAAGCGCCTGCCTGGCAAGTGCAAGGTCGTGAGTTCGGTTCCTGGTACCAGAGAAAAACCAAAAAACCAAAAAAAAAAAGAAATTAAAAAGCAGTGTGCACAAAGTGAGTCACAGGCATGAAACATGCAGAAATAATAGAAATCTAGGGTAGCAGTGCTAGGCCAGGGACGAGCATAACAGTCCTGAAGAGGCAGGTGTGACGGCTTTCAGTGCTGAGATATGAGTACGTGGCTGATGCCAAGGGGAAGAGGAGAACCGACATGACATCCCCAGTGACGGGGCTGCAGAAATGTGTGAGCGCCACAGATAAACGGAGGAAGGACAGAAGGGGCCCTGAGAAGCTGACATCCTAGGACTTTTAGAAAATGTCTTTCCCGAAGAGCTTTTTGACAGAAAGCAAAGTACAAAGATGATAGTTTCCAGAACACAGCACTCCTTGCTGGCTGTCAGGTAAAGACACCCAGCCTCATGTTAATCGGAAAGCCTGGGGTGCCCCCCAAACCACAGGACACCTCCTCTTCACCTGTGGCCAAACCAGGAGCAAGAGACACCACCTGTCACCCTCCCAAACTCAGACATGGCTGCCAGTTCTCCCAAGGTGTTGTGCCCAGGACAACTGGGTGTGGGTGGAGGCACAGAGAGGCATGGGCAGCATCTTGGGCAGAGCAACAGAGCTAGCACCAGCTTTGCCGGCATACAAACGCACACCACTGCACCCCAGATCCTCTCTATACACACCTTACTGTCAGCTCGCACACCCCCAACACTTACACACCAGTGCCACCCACCTGCACCGAGGATACTGCCACACCCCTGGACACACCTATACTCCCCAGAGATGCTTCCACCCACAGACACACAAACAATCCCTGCACACACACACATACACACACACACACAACATACACCACCTCCCTTGGAAATAACTGCACACACCCCACACACACCTGGACACACACCTAACCTACAAAGCCACACATACACCACCATCCCCACAGATATGTACTGCCACGAGACCTGTGTACACTCCCCATCCTTATATACACCTTAAAGATGCACATGCCCACACACACATCCCACAGTCACACATGCCATGGTCACACCTCATACATGTGCAACTCTGACAAAAATTGGCCATTCCAGTCTCATTCAGCGAAATAACCACAGGACTCCTGGTCATTTGAGATTTCTGATGGTTAAGTTTAGACTTCCAAAATCAAATACTCACAGCATCAGGGATTCTCTGGCCCCTCTGAGGGCACAGTTGGCCTGGTCTCCATTAACTCTGGGAGTTCCCTAAAGCTGACTTCCTCACACCTGGGTGTCCCCACCACACCCATAAATGCCACAGTCTCCTGTCAAGTGTACACACCCCCAGGCACACATTCCAGGACCCTAGAGAGGACGGGGAATCGAGGGAAGGGAGGGAGCTGTGAGGGAAGTTGAGGGGAGAGAGGGAGGCAGACAGCAGTACTGCTGGCCAGCTGCCTAGTGCCAGCAGCAATGACCCCTCCTGGGTATGACAGTCGGCCCCTCTTGCTGGCTCCCACAGAAGGGAGAGACACCTGGCAATGCCCTGAGGCCATGAAACATTCATCTCCCACAGCCAGATCCCCTTACCCTGTGCTCACTCTGACCTGACCCTGGCCTGGCCTGGCCTGAGGGGCCAGCAAGGGGTCAGACATAATGTCTGAGTCATGCCCCCGTCCTCCACGCACACTCCCTCCCTCCCTCCTGTCACTACCCAAGTCCTAGCCACCAGCCAGGCAGGCTCATCAGACTCTGTGCCTTATCCTGGCCCCAAACCCGACCCTGAGCCCAGTTTAGCCAGGACCCCAGCATGGGGGTCAAATGTTTTACTGTTCTCCCCACTCAGAGTTGCAGGGAGTTAAGGCACTCTCAGCCCTTCAATTTCCACCACTACCCTCTTCCCCGGGCACCTAGACCCTAAATGCCAGTGCAGGGCTCCTTCTCCAGAGGAGGTGACACTTGAAAGAATTCGGGCTAGAAGCACTGGCTGCCCATCCCCAGCCCCCTGGCAGTGAGGTGGGGGTTCCCGAGGGTCCCTCTGTACCGTAGTGGCTGGCTTGGGCTCTGGCCTTGCCCTTGGCTGCCTTCCAGACTAGGTCCTTCCAGGGATGCTTCTGGAGTTGCATCTTCCTCTGGGGCCTGCAGCCACCGAAGCTCCTCAGGCTGCAGAGCCTGGTACCAGGGCGGGGGGCCACCTTCGGGGGCCAGCACAGGGCTGGCAGCCTCCTGATCAGTCCCACAGGCCCCTCTGAGCCCCTGCCTCCCCACGGCCCCTGGCAGCTGCAGGAAGCGCTGCATCAGGCACCCGTTCCTGCTCCAGGACTGGGACTGAGGTGTCCAGGGGTCTGGGGCTGCCTGTGCCTGTTGCCAGACTGCCTGGCCCTGAAACTCAGTAACCAGACACCGGCCAGCAGGGTGGCTCTGGTTTCCTCTTCAGTGCTCTGAGACAAGGCTGCAGGAGGGACAGAGGGCGGGGAGTAGGGAATCAAGCCTGCCCCACTCTCCGGGCAGAGGACTGGGTCAGCAGAGTTGGCACAGAGGTAGGAATGCCTTCTTCACCTCCAATCCCGCAGCCACAGCTGGACCTTGGCTTCCTCAGTACTGCTCCTCCCAGGAAACCTCACCATCCCGCTCACTCTGACCTCAAGCATCTTGAGCCTCACCTGCCTTTCCCAAGGCAGGTTTTTTTTATTCGTTTGTTTGTTTGTCTTTGTTCTGAGACAGCATTTCACCAAGTTACCCAGGCTGGGCTCAAACTTGCCATCTTCCCGCCTCAGCCTCCCAGCATGTTGGGATTACAGGCATGCGATGTTTTCCTTCTTTCCAGCTTTTGCTTATTTCTGCTTCCCCCCTACCAGGTGCCACAGACTGCTCTCACTCATACTCTTGGTCCACCTGCCCCTGTGCCATCCCCTGCCCCTGCCCTGCCAGGTGTGGTTGGCTTTATTCATCACAGAGACGTTCAAGTCCCCACCCACAGCCACATCCTTGCTCTTATAGCCTTAGTGCCAGGCCCTTGCAGAAAATGAAAGGCTTTCTTTCGTTAAGTTCTCATCCCCCAGACTCACACATGTGCATCTATTCTATTCTTCCTCCTCTATTCTTCCTCCTCCCTCTGGCAGCGCTGGTCCTCCCTGCACCCACTTAAAGTCTCCCTTGCTGTCACTCAGTGATCTGCACTTCCTCCAGCCTCTCCCACACTACTGGCTCTTTCCCACCGGCAGGTGAACTTGTTCCGGGCTTTCCTATCTTAGTAACAACAGGACATAAATATCTCCTTGAATGGATGATGTTCTCCAGCCAACTCTTTCCCTTACAGTCAAATTTCTTAAAAGTGAAATTCCCATCCACTGTGTTTTATTTATTCACCTCTTATTTGCTCCTTCATTTACTTCACTCTGGCTTTAGATGCTGATTTGGAATTTAGGGCTGAAGGATCATGATTTCAGCAATTTACATGGTTCAGCCAAAAATAGGGATAAATGGTTAGATAAAGCAAGCAAGGTAAATGTCAGTAACAGTTGAGTGTAGGTGGATGATATATATGCATTCATTGCATTATTCAATCAATGTCTATGAATGTTAGTGTCATTCATAATAGAATTCTAAGAGAAATAATTCAGCTCCTTTCTCTTCAGTTTGCCAGAATTGGTCTCCCAGGGCAGGAGGTGGGCAGTGGAATGGGAAGTTGACCGTTTCACATCCAGTCATCTTTTTTGTTTTTTTGTTTTTTTTTTGTTTTTCTTCCAGTACCAGGAATCGAACTCTCGACCTTGCGCTTGCCAGGCAGGCGCTTTGCCGCTGAGCTAAACTCCCAGCCCTCCCAGTCCTCTTGACTATCCTTTTTTGTTTAACTTGACCTTAGCGGGCACTGGTACTACTGACCATTCCTTGCTTCTTGAAATTCTATTTTGGATCACATCTTCTCAGGTAACTTTTGACACTCCCCTGGCCCTCTGGTTGCCCCTAATGTTAGTGCCTGCAGGGTTGAGACTTGTGTCCTGTCTGAACTCATTTTGTACATCTTCCCTGACATATCTTCACGGCTTGCTGTGGCTTTAGTTAAGCATATGTTAACAGCTCCCTCATCCCTCTCCTGGAATCTAAATCCTTATAATATCTGGAGACCTACTAGACTTGAACATCCTTCTGGCTACAATTTTACTGTGCCCAAAGCTGGGTTCATCATAACCTTCCCTAAAGTTGCCTGTAACATCTGTATTTCCAATTACACCGAATAGCACCCCATTTATCTAGCTGCAAGAACTAGCAACCTGATATCATCCTTGATCTCTCCCAGTCACACTCTCTTACCCTCTTCCCCATATGCAAGCATCAAGTCTGCGACTTCTACCTCCTCAGTACTGTAGTCCTTAACTCCTCTGCCCCTCCCTTGGCCTGGGAGGCCTCCCTTCCTTCACCATCCCTGCCGGTCAACTTCATACCCCCATCACCCATCTCTTCATCTATCCAGCTCCCTCCAATCTCTCACGGTCTAGCCCGTGATCCTTCTGCATATAAACCCGACACTGGCACCTGCTTAGAACCCTCCAGTGGCCTCCCCACCCTCCTTTCTGGTCACTGCAGTGGTGTGCACAGGCCACACCACAGAAGTTCCTACAAACCTAACACTGGGCTCTTCATTCCTGCCCTGGGTTCACATGTCCTCTTCCATCCTCTGCCCGGAACACCCTCACCTTCCACTCTCCCTCCTGGTCCCTCTCCATACTGAACTGTCCCTGACTGCTTCATCCTGTGTCCCTCTAGAGAAGCAGGAAGACAAGGACGGCTCGAATTCACAGCTGTATTCACAGAACAGCGCGGGGCTCCACAGGGCAGGCCTTTAATAAACACGAATAATCAGATGAAGGAAGAGTCAAAGGTGGGGGTAGGCTCGTTAGGGCGGAGACAGACTGCAGGCCCGGGCGGGGGCAGGGATGTGGGCGCCGATGGGAGGAGGAGCGGACCGGGGAGCGAATCCGTGGAGGAGCCAGGCCTGGGCACCGCTGCGCCTCCCTCTCCGCCGCCTTAGACCCCGCCGCCACGCCACGCCGTGGGATCTGGGGGTGCTCTCAGAGCCGACCCACCCAGCGAGAAGGCCTGGCGGCGATCGACCCCAAACCCAGCCCCCACCCAGCAGGGCCCTGGGCGACAGGGGGCGCCGTGGCGGGGCCGGCGCTGTCCATGGTGCCCGCCGCCCGCGCTCACCGCTTGTAGTCGGAGGAGAAGATGCCGCCGCTCGCAGGGTCGTGGCCATACTCGGGCTCGCCAGGGCCGGCAGAGCCGCCCTTGTCTTCGCTGTAGGCGGGGGCGGCCGACATGGGGCAGCCGGCATGGGGCGGGGTCCCGGGCGGAGGCGTAGGGCGCGGGAAGCGCAGGGCGCGGGAGGCTCCGCGGCGAGCCGGGTGTCGCTGCGCGCGGATTGAGGCCGGCGCCGCGCCGAGGTTCTTAAAGGCGCCGGCGCCCCGAGCGCACGCGTGCGGCGGGGGCGGGCGGGGACCCGCGGCAGCGACGTCGGCCCCGCCCCATCGCCCAGAAACCCCTTCCCGAGGGGAGGGTTCCTGCCTTTTAAAGGGACTTGGCGCCCCTCCAGGTCTGGGGGCAAGGAGTGCGGACCTCTAACCCCAACCCAGGCAGACCACCTGGCCTGGGCGCGACGGCCACGCAGCAGACGGGAAGCGGGTGGGCAACAACGAACCAAAGACCGGTCGAAGACCCAAGGATGAGTAAATCTAGGCTCCACTGACTGCTGCGTCCTACTGTTCAAATGGAAAGCTGAGCGGCTTCAGGGAGGAGGCGAAATTTAAGGGCAGGGTGGTCCAGGAGCACCAAGAAAGCCTTAGGGGGCCTCGGGCAGAGAGGCGGGGGACAGGTTAGAGAAGACGGCGAGCTTCCTAGTGACGCTTTAGAAATACTTTAATGATCTTTTCTGAAGACCCCTCCTGCTCATCCAGGGGGGCCCACGGTCAGCCTAGTCCATGGTTAGGTCTACGTCCACCAACTCCTGGGAAGGAAGAGAAAGAAATCCGGCCAGGCTGGGTGCAAAGCCAGGGCCCCTTGCTGGTGGGATGCGTTCAGATCAGCTCAGAAGGCCCGAGGTTCGACAAAGCTCTAATGAGGAAGGCCTGGTTCGGAGCAAGAGCCACCAGGGCTGGGGGAGCTGTGGGATCCAGTTGGGCTGGAGGGATGAGGGCCAGAGTCTCTTAGCTGGGATAGGGGAGTGGAAGAGTCCCATGCTTTGCCCCTGGGGACTGAATTTCAGTCTGTGGAGTGGGATCCCGAAGTCTCCAGAACTGCCGGACCTGGCTGGCAATGGATAGGACCCAGAACACTGGACCTTGGCTCGGTAGGAAGCTTCTGTTTCAGGCAGGGTAATGATGAGGCTGCCCAGCAGCTGGCCTGCAGGTTGGCAAGCCAAAGGAAATGCCTGTGGCCAGCATCTGCAACCTGGGGGGCGTCCAGAGGGGTTTTGGAGAGGTGGACCCTCGAGTGGACAGGCTGTGTGGTTCTGGAGGCTTTGCATCAGGCAGAGCAAAGCAGATCTTGAGTTGGAGGCAGGTGGAGTGGGGTGGGATGGAAAGACCTGGAGGAGGGCACTGGTTAAGGGTGTTTGTTAGCGGGGTGGGACTCTGCGGGGCAGCTCTCACCAAGCCGGGGCTCCTGTCCACGTCCAGCAGGTGTAGCGCAAAGTGCACGCAGTTGTAGCGCGTGGGGTGATAAGCAGGAGGGTCCATAGCCATAGCCTCACGCACGCGGCGCTCTAGCCTCGCGTGGTCTACGCCCCCGCGTCTCCGCAGCACGCGCCACAGCTGGCGGGAGCGCTGCAGAGGCCTCTGCCCTTGTTTGCACACCACACCTTCCCAGGAGCCCAGGAACTGGTGCGGCCCCTGGCTGCTAGGACTCTTGCCTGTGGGGATTGCAGCAGGCTCAGATAGAGCCAGCTAAGGTGCTGGGCCCGGTGACCCCCAACCCCTCCGCCAGTTGTTCGTGTTTCCTCGCATCCGGACGGCTGTGCAGCCACCCCGCTTCTCTGAGGCCCCAGGTCTTTATCCTGGTGTAACCCATCCACTGGCGGGCACCCTGGAGCCTCACCCTCGAAGTGGATGATCTCTCCATGGCCGCAGTACACGCCCACGTGGGCTCCGCACCAGCGTCCCGCAGGGGTCAGCAGCCTGAACAGGAAGAGGTCTCCAGGCTCAGGCTTGCTCACTTCCAACTCTACAGCCTCAAAGTGCTGCCCAAGGAAGGCCTCAGAGAGAAAGAACTTAATGGTGCTGACTGCCCCAGTCAGGGTCTGGAGGAGAGAGGGACCAGACTTCAGGGCATCGGCACAGGCCAGGATGAGAGAGGAGCTCGGTCTTCTGATAACGGCTAGGTACTGGGTCTGGGGCACAGAGGGACCGGACTTGGGGCCCCACACCTGTCTCCCTGTCCTCAGTGGACTCCGGAGGCCTGGATATCACAAATGCGTCCTTCCCTGGACCATCCTGAGTAACCCCTCTGCTCCTGGCAATTGGAACCTCCTTGCCATGCACCCCACTACCAGGGCCCCCTCCCCAACCATCTCCCATCTTGCCTTTTCTGGAACCAACACTGGGCATGAGTGCCAGCTGGTACCTGGATTGAGCAGAAGACCTGAGGTGACAGGAAAACCTGGGTGAGGTTGGGACCCTGGTCACGCCCTTCCTCATGTCCAGCAGCCGGGGCAGCAAATGTCAAGCCTACAAGATGGCTACAGTATCCCCATTTTTAGGATCAGACAAGTGAGGTTCACGGACCACGTCAGTGTGTACACAGCTTAGATATCGTCATCTTAGGTTTCTCCTGTCATTACAGGGATTGGAGGGCTTTGGAGACCTAGGAGGATGGTCCCATTGTCTGGACTGTGCCTAAGTTTTGGCCTCAGAGCCTGGGAAAGGAGGTGGAGGTAGGGCCTACTGGGCCACTGAGCCCTACCATGCTGACAGGAAGCCCAGGAACAGGAAGTGTCCCACCACCTAGGTCTCTGGGGATTTTTCTGGACAGTGACAGGGTTGACTCCAGCAGACCTGAGTCAGGTAGAAAGGACTCAGGTACAAGTGAGGAGCTTCCCAGGACCACACTGCAGAACACCAGCTACTGTGTGGCTCTCATTCTCCAGCCTCCTAGCCCCAGTCCAGTGTCCTCTACTTCTGGCTAAGGGAGTCTCATTTTCTGACAGAGAGCTGTGGAAGATTCAAGCAACCATCTTGACCTGTTCTGTCTGTGACCCATTCTGTCTGTGACCTTCCATGTTTCCAAACTGAAAGTCTTGCATCTGGGAACCCAGGAAAATTGGGGCAATTGGTTGTCCGAGGCTCAGGTCTCCCCCTTTCCATCTCCCTTGATCGCACAAGGCTGCAGAGGTGACCCATCACATGAGCAGCTCTTTGATCTTGGGTCATGCTCTCCTACCAACTACCATGTAGGGAAGGGACCCTTGTTCCTGCTGCCGTCTCCTCCATCCCACCGGGCCAAGCAGAGTCTCAGCTGTGAAAGAGTGTGACCACCCTGGCCCTGCTGAGGCAGCAGGCACCCTTCCTGAGGAGAAGACAAGATGAGCCGAGCACTTCTGCTCCAATTACCTGGGAGGTGAAGCTCATCTAGAGAGAGAGGAAAAAACAAAACAAAACACCATCACCACCTGGCCTCCCTGCCTCCGCCCTCCCAGCTCAGTCCCTGCACTACATCTGTGGACTGTCTGTTGGCATGGTGGCCCCTGGTTGTACATTTGTATACCCACAGTCTGCACAAGAATACTGTCACAGGCTGGTGACAGCTAGTCCTGGCTATACTACCTCTTTACATGGGATATCAAATAAGCCACTTTCTCACTCTGGGCCTCAACTTTCTCATCTGTGAACTGGAGACAGCAAGACCAGAGGATGGCATCACAGGAACTGTTTAATGTTCTAAGAGCTCTTTGCGAGCTGGATGAAGCTAGAGGGCAGATTTATTGAACTACAGTCTGCTCCTGAGCGTGCAGATTTGGGTACCAAGAGGAGGGGTGGAGAGAATTTATCTTTCTCAGCTCAGCGGAGAAGAACAATGAGCCCTCAGAGGCTAGTGGCCTCCCTCTGACCCCTGCCCCAGGGCTCAAAGGGAATCACCCAGCTGGAAAGGCTCAGGGGAGCAGGGTGCCACCCTGACTCTCCCTCTGAAAGTTCCTGGTGGGGGTGGGTAGACAGGCACTTTGGCCGCTGTGAGCTGGGCCTCAGGACTTGAGTGAAGATGCCCCTTCAGACTATTTACAAAAGGAGCAAAAATATTATCACTGCAGTTTAGCATATTAGTTCACTTCTCTATTTCAAGTGTGAATGTCATGGGAAAGATTAAAATATATTCTCTGTTGAAAAAAGATACCTCTTCAAGATAGGGGATCTAGTGCACACATGATTGTAGCATTTATTGCCAGTGACTGCTAAAGCCCCACTTAGCCCTGACTGCAGTGTCATAAAGGAGATAATGCTGTTATCATCCTTATTTTACAGCTGGGGAAACTGAGACTTAAGAGCATTGCTAAGGTTACAAGTTAGTAGGTGGGGGCTGGGGATTTAGCTCAGCGGCAAAAGCGCCTGCCTGGCAAGCGCAGAGTCGTGAGTTCGGTTCCTGGTACCGGAGAAAAACCGAAAAAAAAAAAAAAAAAAAGTTAGTAGGTGGCAGAACCAGGATTCAAGCCGAGATGGGCTGGCTCCTTGGCCACTGTACAGGATGGCCAATCTCATGCTGCTGCCACAGGGTTGCCCCTAGAAGTACTGACCCTGTGTCCTTCCTGGTCTGCAGGAACAGTTACTTTCCATTTGGCTTTCATCTAGCTAAACCACATTTCCTTCCTAATAAAGAAAGGAAGCAAGTCCCCAGAGCCGTAAGAGCTCAGGGGACAGTGTCTCAGTCTTGTAGTTCATACCTGACAGCTGCCCATCCCACTGGAGGGTCTCTGCTTGGAGACCTCCTTCATCTCACCCTGACTAAGACTATCAGGAAGACAGAGTAGTAGGGGTAAAAGGCCGTTTCTCTGAGATCTCTGGGATCCAGGGCCCTATCCTTTCCAAGCAGGGCCCCTGCAGGACCTCAATCCAGTAAGGTCCTGTCCGTGTCCCTGTGGAGCCTTGGTGTCAGCCCCTGGTCATGATCTGGCCTGATCTTCCATCCTCCTCTCTCACTGCTCACCTAGCCCTGGACAGAGGGTGGAAAAGCAAGGCTTTTTCTGAGGTTAGGGCTCCCAGACAGCCCCCACCTTCAACTAGAGCTCCTTGCTTGTGTAGAGGAGGCAGTGCACCTGCTCTGACCCTCTTTCCTCCCCGGAGCTTTGATCCCACCTGAATCTGAGCCCCCAGCCCAAACAACTCACCTTGTAGTGGCCCCGATCCACACCTTGTGAGATGTTCTTCTGTGGCTAGAGGAAGGAAAGCAAGCTGTCCGTCCCTCTGGCAAGTAAAGGGGCCAAGCAGGAAGGCCTGGGGCCCTG